CAGCAACGGCAGCAACAACAACAACTAACAACAACTATAAGTACATCGGCAGCAGCAACAAAACAACAGTAAGTAAGGAAGGAAATAAGCAGCAAGGCAACAGCAAGCAGGGGCAACAACAGCAAGCAGAGGCAACAGCGGCCACGGCTACGGGTTACAGCAATCTGACCGGAGCAACAGCAGCGGCAGCAACGGCAACAGCAGCAGCAGCAACAACAACAACGACGACGACCAACAAGGACCAACAAGACCAACACCAACACCGCCATAGTCACCCTACTCTGAGGCAGCAGCAGCGGCAACAACAGCAACAACAACAANNAAAAAAAAAAAAAAAAACAGCAACAGCAACAGCAACAGCATAGCAACAGCAACAACGACGACAGCACCGCCACGACCACCACCAACAACAACGACAACAATAACAAGAAGTGCTACTGCTACTGCCGGTGCTGCGGCTACTCCTGCTGCTACTGCTAAGGCTACCGCTCCTGCTCCTGCTGCTGCTGCTGCTGCTGCTGCTGCTGCTGCTGCTGCTGCTGCTACTACAACTACCACTACCACTACCACTACCACTACCACTACCAACAAAGACAACAACAGAGCAACAGCAACAGCAACAGCAACAGCAACAACGACAACAGCACCGCCACAACCACCACCAGCAACATCGACAACAATAACAAGAAGTGCTACTGCTACTGCTGGTGCTGCGGCTACTCCTGCGGCTACTGCTACTGCTACTGCTCCTGCTCCTGCTCCTGCTGCTGCTGCTGCTGCTGCCGCTGCTGCTGCTACTACAACTACTTGACAACTACCACTACCACTACCACTACCACTGCCACTGCCACTACCACTGCTACGATGACGACGACGACGAGGACGAAGACGACGACGACTACTACTACTACCACCACCACCTATCTGGGCAAGGAATTGTTAACACATCTGATCGCACGCCCCGGCCTGGCGGCCACACTTCGAGTAGTCCTAGGCAGTTGGAACCATTGCAGTTTCGTGGGATGTTTGTCGTAAGAAACTCTAATATCGACGGGTCTTACAATCTCGTGACCCGACACTTGCCGGATACTTCACTCAAGCCAGAATGCAGCTGCCCTACCAGCTTTAGTGCTCAAGACGGCTTTGCCAAGCGGATTTGCGTGTGAAATATAACTGTACATGGGTGCCGTGACGGTCTCCATATCCATTCGATTTGACCCCGTCACTCTCCATCAAGTTGTCCCTGCTCACTTCGGCCGCTGTAGTAACAAAAGTATGTGCAACATGGATGACTGGTGTCGCTGGCTTCATTAGGGAATTTGTTCACTTACTATCGACTTCAGTTTGGCTTGGAGTGCTCTCTCGAGATTCTGACCGAGGCACTTTGCTCCCCTTGTTCGACAGATGCTGATAAATGTAACGCGCCTGCCTGTCAATCTACTGCTGCCTATGCCAGAATTCCCAAGACCGATGTCGCAAAGCCATGTGAGCCGGATTGTTGTGAATTTAAGACTAGGATCCAGCCAAATGAGATCGTGTCCACCAGATGGGCACATGCAGCAGGCGACGCCAATGGCGGGATACTCCCACTCATCTGAGGGTTCGTTTGGGCCCTAAGGGTGCGAAGTCTCGAGGAGGACTGTGCAAGGTCCTACAAAGAAGACAAGGTAGCGGGAGGCGCCGGTTTTGCGGGTCCTAATGCAAAAGTCCCGCGGGCACAGGCAAAAAGAACCAACCACTTCTTGCTTCACAACACTTTTCTACGCTACACTTTGCTACACTTTCGGTGGTCCAAAAAGCGGACTGAAAGCTCCAAAGAGTGTAAGCCCGTGCCTATCCAGAAGCTGGTGCCGAGGATTGACATGTCTTCTTCATCGTCGTTGAAGCCCATCAGCTCACCGATGTGAACATGGTCCTTGTCAACGGCAGCAGAGCGTCCCTTATGACTTATGAAATCAAGGCTGGCACCCGCTGCCAGACTTTGAGTGAACCCAGTAGTATCCGACACGTCACGGCAAACACCGTCCGCCCATCTGTGCGTTCGGAAGTTCGGTGGGTCCTTCGCCCAAGATGTGCCGGTGGCTGCGAAGCAGGCCCTGCTCAGCTGTTGGGTGCAGGGCGACTATTTGTACGGTAAGGTCTAAAGAATTTAGGCAGGCTCTCAGCGTGTGGTTCGGCACGACTGGGCTGCCACGCTTCTGTATGAAAAATGCTAAGAGGCGGTTGATCTTAGCCTACAATATGCATTGCAACATGGCTCATGGTGAAGCTGCGCACCTTGCCACCTCACCGCCACCCCGTCGGAACTGAAGCCTGGGACAAACAAACTGCAGAAGGAATGAAGGAATGACCAAACTATTTGGGCCCAGGCATGCTGACTACTGCTCCTTCGTGATACTTCGCCTAGAGACTGCCCTGCCCAAAACATAGTTTCGTGACGTCGATCCGAACTTTGGCAAACCCGCTACCTGTCTCTAACTTGGGTTTCTGAATTAGTGGACGCTTTCCAGATTGCAGAGCTCCTTGTAAGAAGGGCCATTTATCTTCATTTTACGCATCCTTCCTTTTCCGAAGCCCAGGTCCTAAACTGGTGGCTGCAAGAACTCTGCGTCCCGGAAAGCGCGAGAGTCTTTAGCAGTAGTTTCATCCACACTGATTCAAGCAGAAGTCTGCAATCTTCAAGGTTGTCACTGAGCATCATGACAGATCACTGGTCATAAGCAACATGTATATGACACTGGGTGCGTGCAAACTCTTCTCCATCCCTATATATGTGTATATATGAAGACCTTACTTCCATAAATCCTCGAACGACCATGCATCCGGCACGCATCCATGCATGCATGGAGGTACGGATGAAGACAGACGTATGTACAGACCTATTTACATACATGCATAATGCACGCATACCAACCTACATACATGCATTCAAACATACACACATGCACACAGAGAGAGACAAACATCGGAACATCACGTGACATGTCTTGAGCTTCTTGGCGGATTTGATGCCGAGTGTCCAAAACGTGTGGCTGCTACATCACGAGATCCAAACCTGATAACTTTCTAACTCAACCAAGCAGCAGCTGCTTGAAGCTTTCTGGCAGTTTATAGTCCAGCTTCTCCTGACACATCCCGGTGACACGTCAATAGAAAATGAGCCAGGCTTGGAGACCAAGGCTGGACACGAAACTCGTATTCATGCATGCAAACTCTTGATCCGGCTTCGATACAACATCTGTGGCTTCAGCTTGGAAAGCCATGCGTCAATTCATCCTGTGTCAGGCCCCTCGTGCTGCCAAGTTTGGTGTGCATGCAAGCATATGCATAGGAATGTATGCGTGCACATGTTGCTATATTATATGTGCATATGTACATGTTTAAGCAACGATTTGTTTGGTCTGTCATGCACGTAGCAGATTCCGTCTACGACGGTTTACACGCGCGCACATGGCAGATGCAAAATTTCATGTACCTGTTTGTTTTCTATGTTGTCTATGTGTGCAAGCCGTGGTGAAATGAGCCGAACATGACACCGCGTCGTGGAAGTCTGTGCTGTATAATACAACCCGGGAACATGACACCGTGTCGTGGAGGTCTGTGCCTTAACACAACCCGGGTTGTTCCAGGTTACATACTAGTCCTCGCCATTGTGTACATACATATGTGCAAGTATAAACAAATAAATTCATGAATACGTATAAAATATATGCTGCAGACACACATAATTTTATAATACACACAAATGAAGGTATACCTGAAATCTGAAAAACATGCATAAGCCGATATATCTATGTGTGTGTGTGTATATATATACACACATATCTTGATGCGGCTTGGGGTTGCCCACCCTTGTTGCTTGGCGGATTGGGGGTGCCGCACTCCCACCCCCCACCCCCCCGCGCACCACCCTATGGTACCCACCAGTGCCCTGTGCGGAAAGCGGCATAATCTGCGCAGTAGTTTCCCGCATCAGACATGAACTACACTGCTTAATTATGAGGGTTGTATAGCGATGGTGATGGTGGCAGCTATTCTTTAGATGTACTGATGATGAACATGACGACGGCAATGATGATGTTGAGCATGATGTCAGAGATGATGTGACTGTCGACTCGCGTCGGCGTCTAGAGCAGCACAACATCATGAGCAGTACCACCGATGTCACAGCAAGAAGGAAAATAAAGAGTAACACATAAGAACTTCAAGAACGGCGGATACGGACCGCACGACCATTGTAGACATGAGTGGTGGTGGAGAACATCAGCAAGTGGTCTTAAGGTTCCACATAACAGTATTTGAATCACTAATCGTGTCAGCAGGTCCTTGTGTTATTCGTGTTGCGTATTCCAATTCAGGCCAACCAAAGCCTCAGCTAAAGGGGGTGCAAGGCCCACCACAACAACGAAACCACAGGGGCGCGGTGGGGATGCAGAGGGGAAGGCTACCAGCACAGTTCCCACCCCACAGGGGGGGGTCAGGGGGGAGGCTACCATTTATTCTATACACACATAATTACTCACCTCTCTCTCTCTCTCTCCCTCTCNNTCTCTGTCTATATATATATATATGTGTGTAATAAAAATAACTGAATACGAATATGTGCGTGCATAAATAAATAAATATATATATATTTTTTTTTCTTCTTTTTATGTATCTACTTATATTCGCAGAATTCGACGAACTCCCTTTACCCCAGACCTAGAATCAACTTCGGACTGATTTTGGGGCCTAAGGATCGAACTTGAGAAGAGGCCAAAAGGAAGAAGAGTCGATAGAGCTCGGTCGTTATTGCGTGCATGCTCGGCAGCGTGGATGCAAGCACATATGTACTGCCATGAAGTCTCACAACCTCCAACATGATAGCTGCTCTTCAACTGCTTCACACTAGCCCACACATACAGGTACATACAGGTACAACCTTGTCTTAGTGTAGCACCTTGGCCGACTTCATTGACTTCCGGAATGTCCTTGCGTAAGCAAGTACTCGATCATCCACGAGTAGCTTCGAACTGTCCTGGTGGCAGGTCAGCTGATTACTGAAGCAGCAGACGTCACACCTGCGTAGACGCACTCGGCCGCGTAAAGACAAAATGCACGTTGCCATGTTGTGTAAACAAATGGACCTCAAGGCAAGGGGGGAGGGGGCACAAAAAGAGGGGCCCCCCCCCTCTCAGAGTCGTGGCTGAGGCCGCAGGTCTTCGTCAGCCCATTCCATAAGTTGTGATCTTCTGCGAACTGTAGTCTCACCTTGCGCAGCTCTGACAAACCTTGTGGCCAGTACTTGGCTTTGTCCCCGGTCTTCTTCCGAATCACGTCCGGCAATTGCCATGGAGGAAGCATGTCTTTCTGGCCGGTGCGTTGCATCGCCTTGATTTGAAAGGCATTTGCTGCGAAGTCACGAGCACGGGGTGTGCTCAACTTCGAAAACACATTCAGGTAGGACACCAAGCGCCACGCTGTCAGTATGAACTCGAGACCGCTGGCGCTGAGGTCACGGGTAGGCGGCGTCCTCGCCCCGTTGGAATATTAACAAAGCTTGTCTGCGTGAGCCCTGTATGCTTCCCCGCCGACCAGCGTCAAAATGCCTGTTTGAAGAAGCTCGCTGCGTCCCTCATCACTGCCGGCTTCTATAAGATCCTTATGCACACGCCACTTGACAAGAAGAAGGCTAAGGAATCCGGTTGGAGCAACTTATATCATTGTCCGATGATACTTGGAACAGGAACACACTGCCAAGATGTCTGCAGAGTCACTGTTGCTGGGCTGCACGCTTTAACATGTCCCGGCCCGTCAGTACCTTGCTCTTCCAGCCGAAACAATCGCCCACCTTTCAGGGCCACTCAAATTTTTGCAACGACAAGCAAGAACATGCATCTGCTTCATCGTCCCAGCTATGTCCGCTACCCTAATCCCCGTCTTGCGACATTTCCCTTGTCACCCACACACTCGCCACCGCTATCCACTCAGGAGCTTTGTTTTTGTCAGGTTTGCCACCCCACCTTGTTGCGGGAAGCCTGCATTTCTTCGGCCGTGGACATATAGCAACATTTTGTACTGGTCTCGGTCGGGTAAAGGTATAATGCCAGGAGAGGCAAAACCCAAGGACAGGTATTTCGGCTGCCAAGCATCTAGCATGCCATCTTGGTGCTCGGTGCAACACTCGCTGCATCGTCGCGTTTGGGCGCATGCCAAACTGAAAGCACGGAACTTCCGGTAGCAGTTTGCCAGGATGGTGTGCAGCTGTGGCTGCTGCTGCTGCTGCTGCTGCTGCTGCCACATAGCCATCCACGCTTGCATCTCCGGCTCCAGCTAGCTGCTGGTCCGTGCGCCCACGGCTCCCTGGCGCATGCTGCAAATACCCTATAACAACAGCAGACTAACTTCCGGTGCACTCCTTTAGTAGGGCTACAAGCTTTAACTTTGCCATGGCCTGCATGACTCTGGTCTTGACAGAGCTAACCCCCCGCACACCTTCGCCGCCTTCAATCAGCGACACCTCGTGTTTCAACCGGGCCATGGACCTTAATTTCCGCGCTCAGTGCGGGTGCTGAGACCTCATACATTCTCACCCCCGCTGTAGGTAAGCTTGGTGGTTCTGCTTCCGCAACTTGGCCAGACCATAATTAACTATCGCACCCGTTTTGGTAATGAAGCCCAATGGTCCCAATTCGCAAGGTCATCTCGGCCCAAAAGTAGTTTCCGGGCCTCCTTGCCGGGCTCCGGGCTTAATTGCCGCAAGGGGGTTCGGTAACTAAGGATGTTGCAGCCTGATTTGTGGGCGCGGCACAACTTTTAGGGCTTGATTCACGCTGCAAAATCCTTCATTACCGCAATGGGTGCAGCAAGTAAGGACGGAGTCCTGGAATTAAGGCCGGAGGCCCGGGAACTACTCAACATTGGTCAGTGAGATCACTCTCTGCCTAAGAAAGTTATGGCCGGAAATCCGCAAACAAGGGGGAGCCATTCAAAATAAACAGCAAAGACAATAAGTGGAGTCATCCGAGCGGTCCGCTGGGGATCCCGCGTTGTATCGTTAAACAAACAAAGACTCCAAAAGGCCATCACGTCCATCGTGTGCAATGTAACCCTATACGTCACAAGTTCACAAGCCAACGGGTGTGTTTGTGTGTGTGTGCGCATGCGCATGCAGACGTGAATGCATGTGCAGAACCACCGGGCTTAACTACAGGGGGGTCAGAAGCACAACCACCGGACTTAATTTACGCATGCAGGGTGTTCGGTAATTCAGGTCGGGCCCCGTTGCGGAAGCAGAACCACAATTAAGGCTGGCCCGGCTGTGGAAGCAGGACTACCGGGGGGTCCGTAATAAAGGTCTGGCCCGTTTGCGGAAGCAGAACCACCGGTCTTAGTAACTGCGCTAATTCAGGTCTGGCCCGGTTGCGGAAGGAAGTTTTAATTACCGCGCCAAGGTCTGGCCCGGTTGTGGAAGCAGACCCACCGGCGACCGGGTTTAACTACCGAGCGGGGTGCGGTAGTAAAGCTTTGGTTCGGTTGCGGAAGCAGAACCACCGGGCTTAATTACCGAGACGGGTGCGGTAATCAAGTCCAAGCCAGAAAACAGAACCACCATAATTGCCGCACTAATTAACATCTGGCCCACTTGCGGAATCAGATCCACCGGGCTTCATGACCGGAAAGGAGGTGTGTAGTTCCCTGACTGCCTGGGCCTGCCTGGGCCTGGTAGGAGTGTCTTGTCCGCAGGGCTTCAGAATGCACTTGGGAACTGTCGAGCGTGCCAGCATGTTTCGCTAAAGACATTTGTCCCAAAACCCGATGTCGTCTCCGTAACAATTCATTGGCCTCTAGCTGCTAGCTGCACCCCACTAAAGCACACCCTACCGGAAAAGGCTAGTGGCCAGCGCAGCAAAGGCTTTGGGCTTAATCGCCGCATTAATCCTTAACCACCCCAAGGTTTTGAAAGTCCACACCTCGCGGGCCCACTTGCCTGCAGTCCAAGCTCTCACAAGTCTCTCCTCGGGTTTAAGTTCGCAGCTCCTGTCAAAGAGCTTGCCCGAGCAGCTGGGGGGTCTTAGTCACAACCGAAACGCGACGGGGCCGGAAGGCCTGCCAGTGGTGAAGCAAAGTTCGGTAGCCTCGCCAACCGGCTCTACAACCGAAACCTGAAGCGCACCCATCCTAGCAGCCAAAGAAGCCTCTCCGTCCCTCGCGGTGCTGGTGTGCATGCAAGTATCCACTGAGCCGATGGGCTGGAGGAGGTCTAGCAGTCTAGCAACCGGGGCACCCCAAAAAAATTCAGCTACCAGACAGTAAGGAGGGCGCAGACTGCACCAAGAAGCCACCCAAGAACGAAGGCAAGGCCCAGGGCAGACAATGAAGGCGGCTGGCAGTAGAATGGGCCCACAGATCCGAGCTCAACGTGAAGTTTCACAGGTCAGCCCTCTACGCAGCTAAGATACCGCTTAGTCAACCCTGTATGGCACTTTTGTCCAAGGGGACTCGAGCAGATAGGTCGGCAGGTAATGCAGGTAAAGCA